GGTGCTGGAGAAAAGTACTTAGGATACCATGGACAGCCAAGAAGACAATCAGATGGGTTCTTGAATGGATCAGACCAGGGCTCTCCTTGGAAGCAAAGATGATCAAGTTGAGACTATCGTACTTTGACCACATAATGAGAGGGCACAGATCACTAGAAAACACAATAATGCTAGGAAAGGTAGAGGGTAGAAGAAAGAGAGAAAGATCACAAACCAGATGGATACACTTGATCGGGGGGTTATGGGTAAGGGCTTCTATGATCTGGGCAAGGGCAAGATAGGGATTCTTAAAATTGTTTCTTCCACAGGGCCATCATGAGTCGGAATCAACTCAAGGGCAGCTAACAACAACAACAAATGTTTTGCAAAACTATTTATTCTTTTTGTTAGTTCCTCAAGGTTGGGAATTACAAACTTTATCCACAAAGTAAAACCACTTATTCAAGAGTATTATAGTGGGATTAATTATGTTAAGTCAAGGCTAGGAATCATATGAGCCATCATGTTGTAAGGGTTTGAGTGTTGGATTAGGACACTGGGTACCAGGATTTGAATCCCCATGCATCCATGGAAATCCACTATGTGACCTTGGCCAAGTCACAGTCTCTCAGCCTCAGAAGAAGGCAAAAACACACCACCTCTGAACAAATCTTGGAAAAAGAACTCTGTGGTAGGTTCACTCTAGGGCAGGGGTAGGCAACCTTTCCCCTTTAAGGGCCGAGCGACTTCAGCTCCCAGAATCCCAGGAGCTATTGGCCAACATGGGACTATTGGCCAACATGGCTGAGGCTTCTGGGAGCTGAAGTCCCTTGGCCCTTAAAGGGGACAGGTTGCCTACCCCTGCTCTAGGGTCACCATGACTTAGAAGTGGCTTGAAATGGCGCAGTGGTTAAATGCCTGTAACACAGCCACTCACTCACAAACCACAAGATTGTGAGCTGAATAGCAGCCAGGGGCTCAGGGTCGACTCATTCTAGCATCCTTCCAAGGTTGCTGAAATGAGTACCCATCTTGTTGGGGGCAATTAGCTTACACATTGTAGGCCACTTAGGGAATGGTTAAGTGCACTGATAGGTGGTATAGAAATGTACTTGCTATTGCTATTGAAAGCACACACCAACAAGGAACCATATAGCCCACCAGGTGTTACTGAACTGCTACTCACAGCATACTTCACCATTTTCTGTTCTGGTTAGGAGAAGGGCCATATAATCTGGATTACTTTAGGGATCCACGTGAAGTAAAGACCAAAACTATCCCAAGTACCTGAAACACAATCCAGACAACATATGATCCAGATTGCCCACAGGGCTGTAAAACTCACTGCATGAACCACACATTTACTGTATATACTCATCTACAAGTAAAAAAAATTATGCCAAAAAGTGACCCAAAATTGACCCCCGAAACCCTGGATAAACCTATATACATGCCAATACAGTAGTACTGCTAGAAAAAATGGTAGGACAGCTCTTTGGGACTTTCTGCCATTGTGAGGAGAATAGAGGGAATCCTAAAACAAGTGTGGAACCCCACCCCTTCTCCCCATCACAGCAGGGACATCCCAGAGAAATCAATACAGGGAGGAGAAGGGGGTCAGCAATTTTTTTACAGGATGCTGTCTCCAGGTGGACAAGAGCAAGAAATCTCCAAACTCCCAAGCGTTCAAAAAGGCCTGGCACCACTCTACACACAAAAAATACAGTGGGACCTCTGTATCTGCAGGCTTGCCATCTGCAGATTTGAGCATCTGTGGATGGCAAGCCCACATATTCCCCAACTGCAATGTGTGCATGCAGCTGCACCACCATTGGGACAGTTGATCTGAAGTCCCCCTCCAAGGTTTCTGCCCTGGCTTGGCTTCACAGGTGGAGGCTGGAGACGCATCATCACCCAGGATGGAGCCTCCAGTCTCCAAGACCCAAGCGCCAGCCCCAGTTCCCTCTGGCTGATGGGGCTTTAGCCTCCACCTCCACACCACCCCTAAAAGCCAAGCTGGAGCCCTGTCAGTCAGAAAAAGTCAGAGCCAGCGCTGGGGGTGGGGCTTGGGTCTTGGAGCTTGGAGCTTGGAAGCTCCATCCCAGATGCTGGGCCAGGAGGGGACTCCGAGTCTCAAACTCTGGTCCTGGCTCCCTCCAGCTGATGGGTCTCCAGCCTCTGGCCCTGAAGCAAGCTGGGAAGATCCTCAGAAGCCTCAGAAGAGGGAGGGAGGTGGGACTTTAGTCCCATTAGCCCTAATGATGGTACGTCTACATGATCACACAGCCATTAAGCCACAATGGGACGAGCATTTGTGGATTTTGGTATCTCTGGGGATTCCAGAATAGATCCCCAGTGGATACTGAGGGCCAACTTTTATCCAGAAAAGAGCTATTCTTCTCTGAGTAGAATTGCAAATGGCTCCCCCTCCCTTGCCCTCTCTCCTTCCTTGTGCTGGGTTCCCAGGAGATCCTCAAGGGTGAAAGGCTCAGCAGCATCCAGCTAGAGACTGACAGCAAGAAAAGGCCTGGCAGGGTTCCTCCTCCCCTCCTGCCACCTGCTGGCCCCCTCACCTCTGTGGTGTTGCAGCCTGAAGCCACTGCTGGGGAGTAGCCAGGGAGTTCAGGTATTTCTAGTGGGCTGCCATTGCTGTCTCCTGCTTCCCTGAGGTGCCCCCTCTCCTCCAGGGCCTCTTCACCACCTAAGGTAGGGTGAAAGGGAGGGCTATCACTTGTTCACTCACTTGCTCCCTCTCTGGACCACTGGAAGGACTGCTTCCCATGGAGGGACCCCCTTCCTCCCGTTTTTCAACTTCATTCTGGCTTGAGATTATTAACAATGAACTAAATGATTATGCCCTTTCTGCTAGCTTTCCTGTCTCTAGGAGTTTCTTCCTGAATCATAGGAGTCAGTTAAGGCCTTAGATGACATGATGACACTTTCCATGAACTTCTATTTCATTTAAATCTAGCAACACCTCTTCCCTGCCTCACACTCCTGGGAGTGGGGCCCTTGATTAGCAGAAACACCTTACTCCTGAGGACTTGCCCAAGATCATCCAGGAGATTTTCATGGCTGAGCGAGGATTTGAACCCTGGTCTCCAGAGCTGTAGTCCAGCAGTCAAACCATTACTCCACGCTGGCTCTCCATACAGAATAATAATCTTTCATTGAGTAACAGTATTCTTTGAACATCCTTAAGATGACACAATGGAAAGGTTTAGAAAAGTGCATGATATCTTTCCTTCAGGCTAAAAGGACTATTGTATAAGAAATAATGTTTTTGCCTGGAAGGCAATTGATACAGTGCCTCTAAAAGTATGCATAATTTATATTGGAATAGAAAATTCCACATTCCTATGAACAATGATACCTGGAAAGGTCTTAAATCTGCAGTATCGTAGGGCCTAAGCAGACTGCCAGAAATAGTGCACATTAAATTGAGGCACTGCCCTGGCTCAGTGCTAGGGAATCATGGGAATTGTATTTTTTTCTGAGACATTGAGCCTTCTCTGTCAGAGAGCTCTGGTGCCACAATAAATTACAGTTCCCATGATTCCCTAGCACTGAGCCAGGGCAGTGCCTCAATTTAAAGTGCACTATTTCTGGCAGTCTGCTTAGGCCCTTTGTCACTTTAACTGCATACAATATTGGAACTGAATATCCTTATATTAAACCCACCATTTCCATGAAATCCAGTTCATAAGATCACAAAATACAAGCTAGGATTTCTAAACAGCACTATCCATCTCTGATACTAACAGGTTTCAAATACTTGGGGATGGAATTAAAGATCTTTTTGAATAATTCAAAACTCTCCTTCCTCTCTACACACTTCCTTTTGAAGATTGACAGTTGTTTTGTAATGGTAAAAGAGCCTTCTGTTCATATCAACACTTTTGAACACACACTTTGGTGCCAAAGCTGGTGAAGCGAAAGAGATGAAAAGGGGCAGTGATGATGAGAGGGGAGGCACCAAGCAGAGTTCTCACAAGAGGCTCAACAGCACAACATCTGATCATTAATGTCCATCAAACATTTTGGCTCTCATCCAGCTCACTAGCGAGAATGACATAGTGGGAACAAGAAGAAAGCCACTGTGCCGACTCAGGCAAAAAGCCAACATGTCTGATTTAGTTTTCAGAGCCTGTCCTCCCAGTCTCTATTACATTAAGAATGATATGCCACACTGTCTGTAAATGTGCAGTACTTATGAGGATACATGAGATCTAGTGCTGCTACTATGCGCCTGTGTGTTGAGCATTTGTGTTTCATTAGCAATGACCATACAAGCTATACCAACTTTTTCTAAACATTATTAATGTTTTATTTTTCTACTATCCTGTGCATAGTGTATACAACTTATGCAGGCATGAAGAATAAACTCTACAGATTGAGAAGGTGCTTCTAGAGATTTTTTTTTTTAATCATGCAATTGCCCTGCTATGTTCATAGAATTTCGTGGGAGTTCTAGTTACTGACTTCCTCTTGTAAGACTCCTCTAAGTTTTCCAACTGTTTCTTCCATTTTGTTTTTTACCCCCAGCTCTCTTAATGACTAATACTAGGAGTTTGTACCGCTGGAAGGACACAGAATATAATAAACTTGCAAGAACAAACATAAGCCCAAGTAAAATAATGCCTCTATAGTGATTTCCCTTGAGATGTTTTCTGCCTCTTTAATAATAGAAACTGGTGTAATTTCAGTGGATCATACACTGCATTTGCTACCCTTTGGTCCTGTCTGTACTGGCCAGGATACTGTAGGAACAGCCTGGAATATTCTTGCCCCAGAACAGCCCCTACCTCCCCCTGTTACCTCAGCCCTCCATTCCAACACCAAGCAGCTATTAGCACACACATCCCACTCTACCGCCACTGCCACCAAACACACACACACAGAAAACCATACACACATACTTTTTTCCTCTCTTGAATCTTCTGCCACTGAGTTTCATTTAATGGCACCATGTTCTTTCCCTTTTCTTGTGTTCATGAATAATGGTGCTGTATATACTTCTATCACATCCATCCCTTAGTCATTTTTTATCTGAGTGGAAAAGCCACAAGAGTTATAACCTTTCCTCATAGAAAACATGACCACAATAATTTTGATTGTCCTTTTTATTCCCAACCATATCCTTTCTAGCATACAGATATGCTACAGTTTTCTGATAATAGCAGTTTTATTTTTCATTCCTTCCCTAATTATCCTTAATGTATATTTCACCATTTTTACAGCTGTTGCATACCAAGTTAATATCATTGAATTAACCACAACTTCTCCAAGCTCTCTTTTCTGTTATTCACTGAAAATTCTGATCTCATGGTTGTTTGCATAAATATTGGAATTTTGAATTATAATTGTCATTTTATTGCCCTTTTGTCCAAGTAGTCCAAAATCATGTGCTGTATGTGTGCAGATGTTTCCACCTACTTTGTGAAAATTGACAAGCTTGAGCCCCTCAAAAAGGGCAACAATCACTGTAAATTTCAGGCAAGAAACAATAAAGCTATCATTAGTTCTTCTTTTTTTAAATATATAAAGACTTATAGGCATGTGGCACCTATTTATCTGAAATTTGGCAGGCATAATCCTTTTCCCAATAGCTACTCTGCCTATCAGTGCTAACAATTTCTCACAAACAGAAAGAAGGTTATAACTATTTATGGATTTACAGTCATAGTCAATGGAAGCTGATTTATTTGAATAATTTTACTCCATTTTTAAACAACAACAAAAGGCTTCCGGAGCAGCCATAAAATCTGGATTTAGACAGTCTCTGCCACAGTTTTACAGTCTGAAAGACATGAAACATAAAACATGTTATTAGGAGTTAAGATGAGGAGAAACTATGGCACATGGTCTGCATCTTCACCCTTCCCCTCAGGACAAGATGGTTCCTGGCCTTAACTTCTGGTGACATTTGTGGATGGTAAGGGCCACACTGGATTTTAAAAAAACTAATCAAAATTTAAAGCAAAGCAGCTTCATTTACATATCGCTTCATACCGCGCTATGCAGTGTCTAAGCAGTTTACAACTGTAAGCTCATTGCCCCCCAACAGCTGGGTACTCATCTTAACAGCCTCGGAAGGATGCAGGCCTGAGTCTAGCCTGAGCCCTGGCTAGTATTGAACTCACAACCTTGTGGTTTATGAGTGAGTGGCTGCAGTACAGGCATTTAACCACTGCCCCACCAGGGCTTTAGATTAAGCCATGTGAACTTTAAATCTTTCTGAGGTTAATTGGGCTGTTTCCAAATTACCAAATCAGAGCTGAGTGCAAATATTGTAGTCAGTGTAGCCCCAGTTAACTGCCCTCAAGTCGATCTCGACTCATGGCAACCCTATGGATGAGACATCTCCAAGACCCTCTGTCCTCCACTGCTCTGCTTTATTCCTGCAACCCCTTAATACCTGTGACCTCCTTAATAGAATCCATCCATCTAGCATGTAGCCTTCCTCACTTCCTACTTCCTTCCACCTTCCCCAGCATTATTGTTTTTTCGAAAGAGTCCTCAGTACATCACAGGATTGTTCATGCTTAAGGCTTCATGCTACCGCTTTTGTAATCATATATTTAAGTAGGGAAGGAAAGCCAGACATAACATCTACCACACTCTCTTGTCTTCTTTGTAGTTAGTGGCAGGGAGGATATCTGTATCTTTCTTACCATATGTGGTAAGTCAGGTGGAAAGAGATTTTACTTAGAAAATAAACCCACTGAGAAAGAGGTTTAGAAGTGTTGTTTCACTACCACCACCCCCTCTTCATTCACCCACCTTAACTTGCTGATTCCCCGGCTTATTTGCTTTAAAACACATATCTATGGGGGAGTTAAGTGCAACTGCATGTGATATATTCAACTATTTTTGATGCCCTAAAAGCAATAATAGTTTTTAATTTTTTGAAAGGGGCAACTACCATTTCACAAAACTGATTTTCTTTTCACCAACTCTCATATGTGGCAGGAATTCAGTTCAGGGAATATGACTTTGTAGGACTCTTAATAAGAGAACTGCATCCTGAAATGTGAAAATATTATTTTAAAAAAGTTCTTTTATCACAGCTAGCAACCTGAAGGTGCTTAATACTACCCAATGTAAATTTTAAGATCACAAAACATCTTTTTGGTGACAGAAATTATTAGAAATCTTTCTCAATAAGAGGGACAAAACTACAAGTAATACTAATAGTGAGAGCTGCTAGCCAGAGTGAAAACATGTTGTCTCACTGACTTTATTGTATTTGGAGAGTAAAATGTGTTGCATTCCACAGGTTCAAATTACAGGGTCCAGCCAGTAGCACTTTCTGTTTTGTTATGTTTGCACTGCTAAATACTAATTATAGCTCTTTAGGGAATAGCTTGAAGCTGTTTGGAGCTGTTACTCTAAAGAACAACACGATTCTATGGTACTACATAACCTGTTGTGATTCTTCAGTATATATTTATGCCAATGTTATGAAGGTAATATAAATCCACTGTCACATCCCAGTATAGGAAGATTCCTCAAGAATTTGAGGAACTCTTAAACTTTAATCTTTTTTTTTACTGCAACATCTTATATTTTTAAAAATTGTTCCCTTGATAAAGGCAAGAAGATTACAGCCTAAATCAGATAAGTTCATGAAGTTTTTTCTGAAATATGATATCTGAATCATTGTAGAAACCTGCCTTTTGTGACTACATATGTTAGCTGTCAAGTAGAGTTGTAGCTGGAGCAACACAATTTACCTTTGGACATATATTATTGACAATACAAGTAGTAGATGTAAAAAGACTAAAATGTTGGTGTCCATACAGCCCTCTTCACAGCTTAGATATAATTACTCAATTAACCTGTTAAACTGTTAATAAAAATAATAAAATAATAAAAAAATATTTATATCCCACCCTTTGGAAACTCAATCACAACCATAAAATCTTACACAATACCCCAAACCCAATGACCCCTCCCCTCTTAAAACAGTATTAAATCCATAGGAATTAAAACCAACAATTCAACAATTAAAAACAATTAAACATCCAAACAGTTTTACAAAAAATAATATTAAGCCCATGACTATTATTATTATTATTATTATTATTATTATTATCTATCACACTTTCTTGTCTGCTTTGTAGTTAGTGGCAAGGAGGATA